CATTAGCATATGGCATGGAAAAACCTTCATAACTACGAGAAGCTGCACTCAAACTATGAATTTTTTTCAGGTTATTCGACATCTTACCCCATGTAGAATCAATACTGTAAATATTGTCAGAAGGGTGATAGGCACTTTAAAAAATGATTTTTCGTTTGTTTGTTAAGTTCATTGACGATTATTCAACAGCTCACTCAGGTTTTCTTTGTCTCCAATCACATGCCAGGACTGATAGCATGTCTATTTTCTCAGTTGACGACAAGAGAATCACAAGCAACTCAGTTTTCTCAATGCCATAGTTGTACTTGTTTACTACCACACTGCAGCACAAACACTCGACCATCATTTGTAGCTACCAAGTCTACTGGACAATACATCTGACCAACACCTGAACCATGGCTACCAAATGACTTTATAAACTGACCTTCTTGTGTGAAAAGTTGAACACGATGATTATTCATATCACAGACAAGAATCATGTCTGGACCATAAACAGCCAGTCCACCGACACTATCGAACTGGCCATCCTTCTTCCCCTTTTCACCAAAGCTGTACAAGAGGACTCCATTTGAATCAAAAACATGAACACAGCTTTTGTTCAAATAAGATACGAAGTACTTGCCGTTTCCATAGGTGATGTACCGAGGCTGTTCATTATTGTCAGGCGTATCAAACTCATGAACTAAATCTCCTTGTTTACTGAACACCTTGATGCTTGGTTTGATGCCAATTATTTCATTTCCTTCGCAGCACACTGCGATATTTTTATCATCGTTAACGCACATTCCACTCGGTAAAAACCATTTGTCAGGTCTGTAGAGAGTTTGTACGTAAGTACCGTTATTGTCAAATTCTTGTATTCTGCCTTTACTCTCTGGCTGGTCAGCAACAAAGATTCTATCTTCAATAATGACAATTCCATTTGGTTTGAATAGCTTTCCTTCTCCCATCCATTTCTTGCCAAACTCCCTCAAAAAGTTCCCAGTAAGGTTGAATATTTGAACACGGTTATTACCTCCATCCGATACAGCTATCTCTTCATTTTCTTTTAGTGCTATTGACCTTGGATAGTGTAGCTGTCCCTGCCCATGTCCCTCTTCGCCAAATTTTTTCACGTAAGTAAAATCTAGTGAATATGCATTATGAGGTGAGTCTTTGATGGGACTGCCTGCAATATTCACCAGTATTTCGTACCTTCCCACTTTCTCTGCTTTATAACTCACACGGTATTTTCCAGTTTGCTCTTCAGACACTTTCTTTTCCACCTCGTTGCCTTCCACATCTTTGATTCTAACATCGATAGACTCGATTCTTGTGGGACATACTTTTCCATCTGCATTTCTCGTGATGATGTTAAACTCGTTCACAAAGCCGCACCTTACATCTTGCAATGACTCAATTGTACACTGTGTTGGGGCCGTCACGGTTACCACAATATAACCAATGTCTTGAAACAACTTCTTGACTTGAGGACTTGTCACGTAACGCACCGTCGCGTTACGTTGGATTGGTTTGTTACATAAAATTGAAGGTGTCTCCAATAACGTCTGACTTCTGTGCTGTAGTACTTCCTTACTTTCAATAATCTCTAGGCTCAGACTTCGTTCGGCTATGATTTTAGAGTAAAGCTCAAACTCTTGTGTCTTTAGTAATTCTTCGTTGACATCCCTTTGTTCATCATCGTTCGCTAGCTTTTGATCCTCTAAAAGATCATCTAAGGCCTGACAAATTGTGCTCTCGTGATCCTCTGCCATCTTAAAAATAGCTTGCACAGTGTCGTGAACCTCTTTTTTTGCGACTTCAATTTCGCATTGAATTCTCTCCAAATTTGTCTTAGATTGTTCTAATTCTTCGTTATATTTTTCTCTCAGCTGTTTGACTTGATTCGTGTCTACTTGTAGGGCTCGCTTGAATTCCTCAGAAGCTTCCTCTAGGATCTGCATACGATGGTTTTGATGATACAAGATAGCACATTTTTGACATACACTTTGTTTACAACTATCTTCTTGGCAGAAGTATTCCAGCTTATTTTTCTCGTGGGACTTTTCTTTGCACAACATTTCATTCTTGACGAAACTGTAGACACTTTCTTGTCCGAAGTCATCAAGCATTGTTGGTTGGTGATCTTTGCGAAGTTGCTTGATTGCTTTGTGGAGTGTGACGCATTCTTCACATATCAAACCATCACACTGAGGACAAAATGCCACCAAGGATTCCGGCTTGCTACAACTTTCACACTCAGTCAACCCTTTCTGCAATGGAAAGGACTCGTTTTTCATATTCTGGAGTAGTCGTAGCAGAGCGTTGTCGTAGAATGACGAAGGTAGCTTTGATGCATCACCATCTTGCACGTATATCCTCGCCTTGCAAATAGGACATTCAAAATGTTGGGTTTCCCCACTCTCTAGGACCAGAGTAATACATTTTAAGCAGAATTTGTGCAAACATGGAAGAATCTTTGGATCTGTGAACAATTCTTCACAAGTAAAACACGTTAATTCTTTCTCTATTTTCTCTATATGAGGTTTTAGTATGCTCCGCATGGTATCAGACATACTCAGAGAGCTAGCGGTGCGTGTAAATCGCCTGCGTGCATCGACATGTACATACCAAATTAACCCGACTGTTTTTTTCCCCCAAGAATAATATAAATAGACACATCACGAGATCAAGATCACCATCAGGGTTAGCTATGCCAAAAGAGTTTTGAAGTTGTGACCTATTTCCGGGTTAAACTTTGCACAAAAACCGCTAAATAAAGTGAAAAAAGTTCAACTTCTATCAATTGAAATCAAATAGCTAATTTTGGAGGACACTTACGACAAATACTGGGGACACAAAAGAAAAAAGCAAATCTGCGAAGATAAAGGAGACGACGGAAACGGTACTCCATCACAAAATTAAAGCTAACAAATCAATCGTATATATAATAAATTGCTTTTAAAGTTTTCCATGGTTCTTTTTTACAAGGCAGTGACTGTTTTGAGCTTCTGGAAATGGAGACCTTAATTGTCGCCATGACCGTGTCTGTGCCGCGTTCGTGCCGTGTTTCGGGAATTTGATTGGATGGAAAGAAAAATTCTCGTGCAATGTTATTGGTCTGTCGTTTGCCTTGCCGTGTCACGACCACGTTCGTGCCGCGATCTTTTCAGAGTCATGGATGCTATTTTGAATGAATTTGCAGTAAGTGCAATCGGCTGTTGTTTATAGTGGATGTACTAGTGATGAAACAGATGAGGGTTGTTTGGAATGTGACGCGCAGATCAAAATTGAAGGCTACCCGTGTCTGTGAATCTAGGCGAGGAGTTTCTAATATATTTATCTATAAATGAGAAGTAGCTGTGTAGAAAACTCTACTGTAAAACAAATAAGACATGGTGATGTTTCATTGCGTTTGTCATTTATTGTGATAATAACATTGGTTTCTTTCTTTTATTTTATTTTTTTATTTTTATTAACTACCTTATCTATTTAATACCAATTGACTTTATTTTACCTTATCTTAAATTATTTTTGGCCGACAAAGTATTTCCTCACCAATGGATTCATAGTTGATATTATTAACTATGATGGATTGCAGTCAATCAATCAGTTATCTGAAATTGGAAAGGAATTTCATACATTATAAAAAAAATTAAAGAAAAAATGCATGCTTTCCAAAACATCAAAATAATTATTAGTATAGGAAATCGCACTATCTCGAGTACAATTTGGAAATKAATAGACACGAGTAATGTTTTGAAAGTTCTTGTAATTACACGAGCCTTTAGGCTAGTGTCTATTAATTTCAAATTGTACGAGAAGACCGTGTGATTTCTTGTTTATAGTTGACTCAACAAAATTTCAGTAATAAAATGCAAAGCGACGCCGTTCATCTTTGTCTATTTGGCGGATGATTTTCAGTCAATGCATCGCGCAACTGAAATGCATAAAAAAGATTAGTTCTTACGGCTTTAAAATCTTATTTATGTTTTTTAAGTACAAAATGATAGAAAATAATTGTTTTGACATTGTTTTGGCCGTGTTGCCATAGCGACTTAATTCGGTACTCCTACGGAGTACAATTAACGCTATAATTGTACTCCTCTCGACCAATCAGAGTCGAGTAATTTTGTTGAGTGTACTATAAACTCAGTAATCGCAAATTAAAAAAAGACCAAGAAAAATATAGTGTCACTTAAATAAATGCGCAACTCAAAAATACGTATACGTTCCTCAAAAATGTATGACTTTGGCAAAATTCGTGAAAGAAAATATAGCGATACGCGGTGAATGCGCATCAAATGTATTACTCAATAATGCTTGATTCAATTCAAATTGATAAACAAAATATAGCGGTGCTAAATAATGCATAAGTCAAGAGAATGCGTTAGTCAATAGGACAGCATCCGGATGAGTTTTTGCATCATCACGTGACGGCAGCCATRTTAGATGACAGGAACAATACAATCGTTTTACATAAGAAAGAATTCAAATCCCAAGAGCAAAGGGATATTATTGTTCTGCCATCTAACCACATGCAGCTCAAGCTGTATTATGGGATTGTGCACGTGATGGTGCAAAACCTCTATAAAATTTGTGACTCGAAAGATATCTTGGCTAAATGATTGGTCAACTCAAGGTAACATGATATTTTAAATTGTGTTACTCAACAATGCGTGACTGACTAAAGTTCGTGACTCAAAGATAGCGTTACTCAATGACGCATCTCAAAAGAGCTGTTTACAAAGTAGGATAATTTCTGTAAAACGACATATTTTGCTTACCTTTTAACCGGCACTTGAAGCAGTGTGGCGCAACCAGTTAACAAAGGTACTCACTCTTGCAAAAACAGTGTAATGACTTGTGTAGCACTTTTCATGTCCCCAACTGACAACACCCCGAAGAACCCATTTGCCTCCCTCATAACATGCTAATGGTCCACCGCTGTCTCCTTGACAACCACCTGCTAAGCCTTGCCCACCTGCACACAGCATAGTGTTGTGGTCCACTTGTATTAAATAGTTATTCCTTCGTTGACACTGAAGAGGGTCAGCGATGGGAAGATAGGCTTTTTGGAGAATTCTAGCCGAAGGTCCACCAGCATAGGTTCGTCCCCAACCTACATTATTGATTTAATAAATGTATAATAATTATTGATATCAATGATAATAATAGCAATTTATAATTAATAATTATTGATAGTTATCAATAAATAAGTATTAACAATGATGCTCAAAAAATGCCCCAAAACGTTTTCCCCACAATGCGACGAAATTGTGCCAAGTCCCCACAATGCGACAAAAAGTGTGCCAGATGAAGTCCCCACAATGCCACAAAAAGTGTGCCAAGTCCCCACAATATGTGCTACAAAAATGTGTTAGGTCCCCACTATGCTACAAAATGTGTGCCAGGTCCACACAATGATAATGCTAATGCAGGTTCCCACAATGCTACAAAAAGTGTGCCAAGTCCCCACAATATGTGCTACAAAAAATGTGTTAGGTCCCCACTATGCTACAAAATGTGTGCCAGGTCCACACAATGATAATGCTAATGCAGGTTCCCACAATGCTACAAAAAAGTGTACTGTTTCCCCGTGATGCTGCAAAACGTGCATGAAGTCCATACAATAATGCTGCAAAAAGTGTGCCAAGTCCCCAGAATGCTAAAAACGTGTTTTAGAATCCCAGAATGTAATATGAAAGGATCCATAATGGCCGCAATGTCTTTTGAATCTCTTGGGAATGCTCGCAACCTATCAATACCCAAGCAGTATTTTTTGCTATAGTTCGCTACCTTATTTACCTGATAAGAGGCACCTGGATCCAGCAGCAACTCTGCTTCCTTGTACTGGCAGACTGATTTTATTGATTGTCGACGTAAAAGAAACAGCGCTATCGAGCAGGATAAGTGCGACATCATGCTTGAAATGATTTCTACTGAAGTACGAGTGGTCAAATATTCTGATAACTCGACGAACCTGTTCCCCAGCTATAGTTGAAGAGGAGTACTGAGCACCTGTAAGAAAGCCATATGTTCTTGGAGTGTTTTAGGTTTTTGACATTCAATTGAGGATATGAAAACATGCTAATAGCTTAGTATGCTAATAGATGAGTACCTGTTCCCCAGCTACAGACGAAGAGGAGTACTGAGCACCTGTAAGAAAGCCATTTATTATATAATTACCAATGAAATATCTATTTTTCTCTATTTCGAAAAATTGATATCTTCACACGTGAAAATAACATGTTTTTTTTCACGTGTGAAAATAACACCATTGCGATGGCTATTCAAAAATACACGAAAAGAATTGCCTGAAAAAGCCAAAACACACTTCATTGATAATTATATAATAAACAGAATATTACATGGGCGCTTGGAGATACGAAATTTATCCTCTCGTGTTGAAAATCTCTCACTCGTTCGCTGCGCTCACTTGTGAGAGATCTTTTCAACACTCGAAGATAAATTTCGTATCTCCGCGCGCCCATGTAATATCCTCTATATATTCTTGGAGTGTTTTAGGTTTTAGGTTCACCTTGAACGCTTGTGCCAAATATACAAGGTAGCGCTTACATCAAAATAATCATTTGATTTAACAGATCAAAACCAGTTTTCCGTGTTTGATACTCTGATGAAAACACGCGGGATGTTCAGAGAACACGAGAGGAGCGTACGCTACGCGTCGTGGTTTCCAGCTTCTCGAGTGTTCTCTCAATATGTCAAGTGTTTTGATCAGAGTATCAAACACAGAAAACTGTTTTTGATTTGTTTTATAAAATAACAAACGCGCGAAAAGATCGAAAAGAGCAAAGTCTAAGTAAATTCTCACTACGTGCAGTCTTATTCAAACTGACCAATGAGCGCACGCGATAGATTAAAAATGACGGTAGCGTGTTTCGGTACTCTCATCAAACATGGTTTTCGACCAATCATAGCGCGCGTAGTATCCCAATTATTTTATAAACAAAAATAAACTTAGACAACGTAAAAAACGTTTCAGTGCATACTTTCATTACAATTCAATAGCAACTTGCTGTTAAACATTTTAAAATTGTTGGAATGATTATAACTAACTGGAGAACGTTGACGTTCAGAAAAAAACTCTATCGTAACTCAACGTACGCACTTAACTTACCTAAATGCACAGTGTATGCTCGTGTATTCCGGTCCTTATCAACACAGTGAGCAGCGGTCAGTACCCATCGTGAGGAAAGAAGAGATCCTCCACAATTGTGTCGACCATTGTAACGAAGGGAGATTTGCCATGGAACTTCATTAGGCCTTGCGTTTACCCCGTTTATAATGCGTTTTTCTGCTCCCTCAGGCAGTCCATATTCTATAGAATGGAAATGTCAGAGTAGATGAAAAACAGAGAATAGAGACAAAAACCCTCAAAGTATAAGCTAGAGAGAATCAATAAATCACAACTCCTTAACATACGGCACCGAGTCCGGTAAATAAGTAAGCGGTAGTGTGGTGATGCAATAGATCATGCTTAATGACATGCAAAACATAAAAACAACCTTGTTCGTTTGGTGCAAATGAATGTTTTCAACACGTGTTATTCACTTGAGAATAAGATTTTTTGTTTGAATAGTATCCATATTTATTATATAATTACCAATGAAATATCTATTTTTCTCTATTTCGAAAAATTGATATCTTCACACGTGAAAATAACATGTTATTTTCACGTGTGAAAATAACACCATTGCGATGGCTATTCAAAAATACACGGAAATAATTGTCTGAAAAAGCCAAAACACACTTCATTGATAATCATATAATAAACAGAATATTACATGGGCGCTTGGAGATACGCAATTTATCTTCTCGTGTTGAAAATCTCACACTCGTTCGCTGCGCTCACTCGTGAGAGATCTTTTCAACACTCGAAGATAAATTTCGTATCTCCGCGCGCCCATGTAATATCCTCTATTCATGTCTTTTCATTCAAAACCGTTAAACAAAGATATGATACTAAATAATACTTGTAGATGGAGTTTGAAAGTTTCGTTCAGGTGGTTTTTTTTGGATAGTGGAGGGAGGAAAACAGAAAAACTCTGCGAATGACCCTCGAATCAACATGCATTACTTTGGAACTGAGGAGAGTGTACTCTAGCGATAACGCCCTTTAACTCACCTAGAAAGGACAAGTATCACAGGACTTTGAAAGTGAAGAGAGAGAGAGAGAGAGAGAGAGAGAGAGAGAGAGAGAGAGAGAGAGCAATGAAAATAGAATAAAAGAAGAAGGAAAAGAATAAACAAAACTCGGAACTATGCAACAATATTGGAACTATGAACCGATTATATTTAAGACCATTTAAGACCATTCGTTTCTCTATCGCGAGAAGAATACTTTGATCATTCGTATGGTACTGAAGAGTAGAGTTTTAGGGAGAAAGGAAATGATAGCATTTCAAATAGCAAAGAAAAACATAAAGGGAACGAGGGTGAGAAAGAAACACGACTTTAGCAAATATTACCAAATACCAAAAGTTAATTGATTAATTCAATCCCTTACCTTTCTTTTCAGTGGCAGCTTCTGCTGTGGAAAGGACCACAGTGAGCGCTAAGAGGACAAAACAGGCTACATGCATCATTCTCGACTTAAAGTCTTATTTAATCTGACTGAAGTTCAGGGATTTTTCCCACATTTATATTTTGAATGTCTATCAAAATCAATTGCATCAGAATCGAATCAATTTTACTGTCTGACATGTCGACATCTCAGGGAAGGCGGAACCGGGGGGCCGGGGGCACATACCCCCCCCCCCCCACCCCAAAATATATGCGTCTGCAATCAAACAAAACATTGTCATTACCACAATAAAATATTATCTTCAGTGCTCCCCCCAAAGATTTGTGCAATGCACCCCCCTGCCCCCAAAGATTTTTAGCTTCCGCCCCCTGCATCTAATTGAAAATAAGCATTAATTATTTCAGTTCTATTAGATTCAGTCTCACCATCTTTCTATCGCTACAATATTTTCTTAAGAATAAACTCTTTCCTGGTTCTTGGTTTTCGTCGTTTCATTATCGATAAAATATGATTGCTTTTCAGCTTTTCTTTTCTTTTCTTTACTTTTTTTTTTTTTTTTTTTTTTTTTTTTTAAGGCTATGTAAACAAGAGTAAAAAAATAATCTGCAAGAATAAAAAAAGCAAATTAAAAATTATTAATAAATGAGTCATACAATTTGTGTTAAAGTGCCTATCACCCCTCTGACAATATTCTCAGTATTGATTCTACATGTGGTAAGATGTGGAAAAGCCCGGAAAAATTACATAGTTTGAGTGCGGCTTCTTGAAGTTATGAAGGTTTTTCCACGCCATATGCTAATGCTGTGACGTATGAGGAGGCATTTATGGTTATTTGTTGTTCCTCGTAATTCGAAACACCGGCTTCTATGGGAAAACTAACTTGCAATAATTTATATAAGAGCAATGGGGAAAACAATGACAGATTTTAAATTTAATTTATCTTTGCCAGTAAGGTTTTGTATATTAAATGATTAACTGAAAGTATTTTCCACAAAATGTAGTGGTTAAGCAATCGTATTTAAGCATGTTTTACGTTCTTCRTCTCATTTGATATCTTGCATCTCATAATGTATCTGTATAAATGTATACTACAACCTTTCTGCAATCAAGTGTATATAAATAAATCGTGAAACAATGAATAGTACAAAGTCAAAAACAAACAATGAAAAGTAGAARGTCACTAAATAGATACTTTTAGTTAGTATTTAGTTTGATTTCATTTCACGGTTTAATTGCATCCGCTCTACAGTAAATAGAGTAGTTAGACAATACAAAATCATTGATGTTTCAAGAGTGTCCACACGTGTCCGGAAATTTTTGTATCTAGAGTGGAAATTTTCCAATACGCTCCGAATACGGATACGTGTGGACGGTCGTATCCGTAAATTTTSGAATACGCTGACGTAAACACGATTTTGCGCATGMTCAATATGAAAAACTATCCGTCAAAGGACTAGGCACTTGCGTGCATCAGGGTGGATCAAGAAATTTCCGGATACGTGTGGACAGTGAAAACGATTCGAAAACGATTCGAATACGCTGCGTGTGCACGCGAACATTTTCGTATCCGCAAAAAAAAAATTTGCGGATACAAAAATTGGCCGGGGCCTTAATTCCCCCATGAGAGTAGCACAAAAAAGGCTATTAACTGTTTTACTTACTGATCTTGAACAAAGGCAACCCCATTCCACGATAAGATAATTATTCCCTTCTTCTTATATGAACATATTTAATAGGTCATTGCTGTGTAAAGCTCAACCGTATATACTAATCCAGGCAAGACAAAAGAAAAATAGGGACATATATATAAGTATATATATCCGATAAATGTCAGAATTTTTGAGATCGGGTGTATATTATATATATATATGATTCGTATTTTCTTATTCATATTTAAGGCCCCGTCCACACGTATCCGTCCACAAGCAGCGTATTCGAATCGTTTTCACCGTACACACGTATCCGTTTTCGTAAAATTTCCGGATACGGWTACAAAAGTTTCCGGATACGTGTGGACGGGGCCTAACTTGACAATAACGTTATGTAAACGTCGAAACGTCTTCTTTTCATTAAAATGTTTTTAAAATGTAGTTTTTTTAACGTTGAATTTCCTAGTTCAATGTTTTAATAACACATTTCTACTATTAAACGTTCGATTTGAGCTCACGGTCGTGCATGTGCTTGAAAAACCCCTGAATTAACATGGCAGCTATCAACATTTGATTAAGGCATATGACACGTTTCGAACTGTAAGAGGAAAAAACCCTCAACTTTTGCACGAAGTTCTAAAAAGATTTCACGATTTTTGAAAGAGTACATGCATAGAACCTTTTGACAGAGTTTAGAAAAAATAAAAAATAAAGACGGGTTTTACTTCTTGCTGGTGTTCAATCATTCGCAAGAGAATTAAATAACAAAAGACATGGCGGCCATGTTGGATGATATAACAAAGAAGACTAATGACGATTTTTTTGTTATATTTATCCAACATGGCGGCTGTGAAAACCATCAATAGGAAAAGCAAAGTGATCCAAGCTACTAGAAGGTGCATGCTTGGTTTTATCATTGTCGATGCGGCATTATCAGTATTCGTGCTAAAGCAGACGGTAGACCGTATATAATAGCCCCCGGCCATTTTTGACYGAGTTCAATCACTTGGGTACGTGATGGTGTATACGTAGCCTTGGACGAAAAGGTATGCATGAATCATTATTTTCGTGCAAAAATAGATCGTATAACGAATACAGTAAGTAATCAAAAAGAGAAAGGTATTCATCTTTCTTTTAGGATAAAAAATAACTCAATAGCACGCTGCTAGAGTGAAGTCATTAAACCCGTGCAATAGATGTTAGACTAACACACTTTAGTAGACCCTAATTCCATTGTTTTTTTTGTGTGTGTCTATTTGACTATTACACGTTGACTAGTATTTTTTATTTCACGGGTGAAATGCCTTCGCTCTATTGAGTTATTTTTTATTTCAAAAGAAAGATAAATACCTTTCTATTTTTTAATTTGAACTTGTATAAGATGGGGAATACCTGAATAAAACAAGAAATGCAGTATTGTTTCTTATGTATTGCCCAAATTTTTACATATTGTTTGCTATACTGATTTTATAAATTAGTAGTTTTCGCTAATGTGTGGGCTGTGGCAGCTCAACTGAGCGATATCCAGATCGACAAAAGAGCGAAAACATCGACTTATCAAGGGGCGGATCCAGGAATTGGTTCAGGGAGGGGTGCAGCGCACATAGTTAACCCAGGGAGGGGTGCACCCCTTAGAATCAAAGGGAAAAATATTATTTTGTATTGGTTAAATCTTTGAAGAAGGGCACAAACAAGGGGCTTTTCTTTACTTTTATTTGTTTTGTTTGTTATTGTTCGTTTTGTTCTTTCTTTTGTTCTTTTTCTTTTTTCTGCTTTGTATATAATATAAAGAACGCTGCAGGTTGCATCACCTTCTTCAGTCGATTTTATCTTCTGGACCAATTCTCAAGGTTAAAAAAAAGGTTCTAGACCATCTTATGTTTTGCTGGTCGAGTACTCAATCAAATAGACTGGTACGGCCTGCAAAAAAAAAAAAAGACTGTATTTATTGTCGTTGTGTTGTATTATCATCGCTGTTGTTGCTTCTATTTTTCTAGTATGTTTGCCCACCTGCATTGGATCAAACACAACATATTCTGCTTGGTTAGAACATCTTGGAGAAACTGGCGACGTTGGTCGACCTGGTGTCTACAGCGACCAAAAACAAAAGGACAGAAACAACAAATATTAGAATGTTACAACCTTGAATCACGCAAAGCCGTAAGCGCCCGGCGTTACATGGTCAAACTCTTAACTAAAACTAAGACTAAAAATGGTCTTCATATTCCAGTTTCGAATTCTCTCGGTTCCTCAGAGCTTGCCTCAAATAGACCTCTTCGGCTATGACGTAATGTTTTCCCATTTCAGACCACGTGTCACAATTTTGCGTTTTTTTCGGAAGTGATTTTGCGTTCAGTTGCACGTACATTTTGAGAAGGGAATTTGACAGATTGAACTGAACTTTTGAGGAAGTCATCTTGGATAGTTGTTCTTCAAAAGTGTGTCTCCGATATATGATTTTTTGTTTATTTCCAAAGTTATCGTGGATTTTGGCTCGGATACAGCTGATATAGCAGCGTCATAACTTTAGGAGCGTATAAAAAAGCAACGAGGCAACTAATCAAAAATCGGAGACACACTTTTGACAAGTGATGTCTTGTGATCTCGGAAAGGTAATAAGCATTGGTTTCCGATCATTACCGGCTGTCATCGAACTCCGCGAAGATGCCACGGTGAAAATTTGAATAATTCGCTCTAACTTAAAAGGATAAATGTATTTTACGAAAAGGAAAAAAGGAATAGTTTCTACATTTATTCAGCTTTCAGAAAATGTATACTTTGTTGAGGTTTCGATTAAAAGGTTTTGCACTATTAAGAGTTGAATGCACACTGGTCGCTAGGGGTACCCTGATACCTTAAGGTTTGCGCTCGGTTGCACATGAGAAGACACATGAATATGGATACAACTCATTCTCAAGGAAATGTCACGTGGTCTGAAATGGAAAACATTACCCCAAGCCGAAGAGGTCTATTGTGCAAAATATTCACGCGTTCCAGTGAATGTTCGTGGAACAAAATTTGTGTTGTTGAAATCGTGCATTATTTATTTTACCGTTGGAATTTGTGAATATTCTGACGTTGAAAAAAGGCTAACCATGAGTAGATGAGTCTGTAATCGAGGAAAAAAGCGTTATTGTACGAATTCACGGTATATTTGCAAAACTGCAACAAGTTTCACTATGTAGCATCCTCTGCTGGTGAAATTTTCTTGGCGAGAAAAATAAGTGGCACTCATGATATTGATGGTTTTCACGGCGGCCATGTTGGAACTTAATAAAAGAATTGTCAGTGAATTATTTTGTTATGTCCTCCAACATGGCCGCCGTGTCTTTTGTTATTTAATTCTCTTGGGAATGTGGGAAAACCATCAATACGATCCACGCTCATAGAAATCAATTTGTTTAAGATGCAATTCTGTCCCAAATTTATTATTTATTTATTTATTTATTTATTTTTCCTTCGTATTTTTAACTCAAAGCAAATTTAGATAAATTAGTTAAATAAAAATAAAAATATTATTTTTACATAACTCACCAGAATTGAATCAAAGCCAGCAGGAGGTAACATACTAAAGGGGAAAAAAAAGATAAGGAAATGAAAGACAATGATTGAARTAGGAATTCAAACGATGTTTTCCTTCGTTTTCTTATGTCTAACCGACTCAAAAACTGACCTACTAACCAACATCCGACTGACTGGCTGACTGGCTGACTGGCTTACCGACCTGACTGGCAAACTGAATGAACAACCGGCTAAATCAGTAACTGGCTGACCGACCGACCGACCGACCGACCGACCGACCAACCAACTGACTGAGTGACCGACCTCAGTAAAGTAGTTTTAGAAGCATTGCAAGTAAAATCGATAGCAAATATTCCTTTTTGATGTATTTCAGTCATCATACAGTATCAGTGATGAACTTTAAATTAGTAAAAATAAATAAATAAGATTCATATTTTACCGTCTCTTGTCTTGTTTATAGACGGATTCTGTTGCACCTAAACTGACGTTGACCAATAAAAGCTTGCCAGGCTGAAAAGAAGAAAAAAAAGAAAGAAATTCCCAAAGAATTAAAAGTGAAAAAAAGCTTTATAACCATTTATGTTACGTGCCGTGCCATGACATCGTGAGCATTATCGAGCATTTTCATTGGCTCATCAGTAATCTTGTGTATTTTTATTGGTTAAACTTGTTAAAGTCTCTTATGACCGTGACTGTGCTGTTTGCCGTGCCATTTCACACCCATACAAGATTGCTTGGTAAACTTTAAACTTTATTGATGAATAAAAGAATACAAAAAAGAAAAACTATATAACCTGCATATAGCTAAAGCTAGTCTAGGCAGGTTAAATTCACAGAATATACACGTAGATTTACAAAGATGCATTTATATGTTAATAATACTAAATAATCAGAGTACAAAGAGCTGAATAGGAAATGAAAAGTAGTTCACTGACTGTAGAAAATGAAAAATAGCTCATTACAGATAGACTTACTTAAAAAGTTTGAAGATCTCAGTATCATAGCGATTAATATTAAGATCGTTTAATAAAACGGTTTTGATTTCCTTTTG